TAGGCAGAGAGAGAGAAGAGGACAACAAACGAGGGGCTGTGACAAACTGTTTCGTCGGAGTTTCACCGACTCATCAGGAGGCTGAACCCTCAACAGTCTGCAGAATCCCCTCACTGATTACTCTTCCTTACAACTCCCCCTGTTCAGAACCTCTTGCGTACAAGCCCACCCACGTGGATGTAGGTTGAGTGGCGGCTGCCCCCACCCCCGTGTGTCATATCGACCCACTTGCACACAGCCAAAAGGCAAAGAGGCAAAGAAAAGAGGAAGGGAACAGCCAAATAATACAGAACAGGGGGCAACAAAACAGATCCCAGATGACAAGTCCCACATGCAAGCACCGCCCCTGCCCACAGGCCAAACGACGGGGCAAGACCAACCAGGATGTCAAGCATTCTTGTCTGCAAAAAAAATAAAAAAGAACCCGGAGGACAGGTATAAAAAACAATCCTGGATGACGATTCCCACATGCAAGCACCGCCCCGCTTTCCAAAAGGCCGAACAACGGGAAACAACCAACCAGGATGCCAAAACAATAAAAAAGCCCGGATGACTGGTCCCACATGAAGCACCGCTACCTGCTTAGACCGAATAACGGGACAAAACGAACCCGGATGCAGACAAGATTACCACAACAAAACAAAATACCCCAACAACGGGGAAAAATACATAAGAAATGGGATGTGTCATTTAGTTTGTTTATGGGATGTGTCATTTAGTTTGTTTGACTAATACGCCTTCCTTCCCTTGTCCTTTCTCTAACGTTTTCTTAAATACCAAAACAGATCAACCATATCCATAGTCAAAAAACGGAACCATACAGTAGGCCCGCAAAACGAAACACCCCAGCAACGGGGAAAAGTAAAGGAAAAGAAACAAGAAAAGGAGGAATGACAAGAACAAATGTAAAAAACAGAGCTGCCCGGTAAACCGTAGGCAGAGAGGGAGAAGAGGACAACAAACGAAGAGGACAACAAAGGAGTTCAACCGACTCATCAGGAGGCTGAACCCTCAACCGTCTGCAGAATCCCCTAACTGATTACACTGTAAGTGAAAATCCACCTTAACCCTGGCTCTGGTTAAGCATCAACGACTGCCCGACAACGGATACTCTGAGGTGGGCACCAACCACTGCCCTCAAGGTACCTGAGGCAAAGTCAAAACAGACTATCGCTCACCCACACCAGATGGAAAACTCTACAGACTGTCGGTTCACACCCCATCACAAGCAAGCAAAACAACCACGAAACAAAGAAAGGTCTGTCACAGCCAAAAAATTGCCGGCGTTTGGGACAGGCCGAACGCCCAACCGTTCGGCACCCCCTCTCGACGCATTCGGCCGAACGCGGACCCAAAAAATAATAATAATAATAAATAAATAAAGATTTCCAAAGAATCTGAAAAAAATATATGTTATGCAGAAGAATAAATTAAACAACATTTGCCTCAACGTTACATCCAAATTCTTTACCAAATTTGGAATAAAAATTAAACACTAACAATAATAATAATAATGAAACGAGAATGAAATTATTGAGAATGAAATTATTGAGAATGAAATTATTGAGTGGGCGAGCATCTTTTTGACACCGCCATCTTTGGCGATTTTTCATTTTTTTTTGGCTGTGACAAATGCCATGAAAATTTATATATGTGTATCTTACATAATAGAGAACCTACAAATAAAGTTTGAAAAAATAATATTTTTTTCATACACCGAAATAAAGGAAAAACAAAAAGTGAAAAGAGAGAAAAAAACAATTAGTGAGTGGGCAAGCAAGTTTTGACACCACCATCTTTGTCGATTTTTCATTTTTTTGTGGCTAAACAGAATGGCTTCAAAATTAAGAGGGAGATACCTTACATCACAAAGAACTCACCAAAAAAAAATTAAAAAAAATAGTAATATTTAGGTGCCAAAATATTTTTTTGCGGGGTCCGAACCCCTTCAGGTTCGGGCGCCGACGGGGGGGGCCCGAACGTTCGGGGTCAGCTTAGTGGCCTCCGTACGTTCGGGCTGGCAAGCCTGTATATATATACGCAAGAGGTTCTGAACAGGGGGAGTTATAAGGAAGAGGATAAAAAACTGAATTCATTTTTTCGTGTTTTTTTTCTTTTTTTTCTTTTTTTTTCGCATTTGCGCTCTGATATTCTTGTGACAATATATATATATTGTCACACTGAATCGGAGCGCAAAGGCGGAAAAAGACAATATATATATATATTCTTTTATTTTAGTTTTTGCACGCCCGGGTGCCCAGCCAGGCATGAAAATCTTCCTAGCAAATGAGCAAAAAAAAAACAAAAAAAAAGTATAAAAATATACTGAAAAACAGAGCGAGTAAAAATCGTCTATTTAACATCAAATGTGTAAAAAGCTGCGTTACTACCCGGGTGGCACAGGATGCCCCTGATTGGCCCGGGTGGCCCGGCCGGGCCAGGTCCGGGAAAGGTCCGGGGCAAAATAAATTCTGAGGGTGACCACAAAATTCGCTTCGGAATCCGAAAATATAAATGATACCATACCCCTTTAGCCGCTTTTAAGCCCCTTCGAGCTGTTTTGAACCCCCCTTGAACCCCATAGACACCCTTAAGGAAGAGATGACCACAAAATTCGCTACGGAATCCGAAAATATACATCATATCATACCCCTTTAGCCCCCTTTAAGCCCCTTCGAGCTGTTTCGAACCCCCCTTGAACCCCAAAGACACCCTTAAGGGAGAGATGACCACAAAATTCGCTAGGGAATCCGAAAATATAAATTATATCATACCCCTTTAGCCCCCGTTAAGCCCCTTCGAGCCATTTTGAAACCCCCTTAAACCACATAGATACCCTTAAGGGAGAGATCACCAAACTCAAAGATAAGGCCGGCCGCAAAATTGCCCCACTGCCAAAAAAAAAAAAAAAGACCCCCTTTTTTATGTCGCCAGGGTACCCTGGGCGGGTCACCTCTCGTGCAAGTTCGCCCGGGTCGCCCGGCCAGGCGGCCTGGCCGGGCGATTCTGGTTACATAGCTAAAAAGCGGAGTAAAAAATCGTCCTTTTATCCCATAAAGTTTTACGGCCTTGAGATATCATTGCCGAAGTGACCGGCCGCAGGTAATTCCGAATTGGGTCGATTCAAAATTTTCGAACTGAAAGTTCACCTACACGCTAAAAAGATAATAAACCTAAAAAGAGATGTGGGAAGAGCGGGAAAAAACTACGCCTCTGAAAGTTCAAAATTTTGTGAAATGCCCTTTTGGACTAGGGAGATATCCCGGGCGCCCGGGTCCTGATGTCACGCCCGGATTGGCGACCGGGTGACCGGCCGGGCATGGCCCCGGGCAGCCTCAGCGCAAAAAAAAGAAAAAAAAAATCAAATCCAAAAAAATCTGAAAAAAAATTATGTTGTGAAGAATTGCAATACAAACAACTTTTGGCTGAGGGTCACATCAGAATTCCTCACAGAACTAAAGATAAAAAAGAAAATAACCATATCACACTAAGGCACCCCCGTTTAAACCCCTTTAGCCCCTTTAAAATTCATTTACACTCCCCTTTCCCCCCCTTGACAGCCAACACTGAGAAAAAGAAAAGAGCCCGGATTTGGGCTACTCTCGGAGAGCGCGGAAAAAAAAACACAGCCAATTTTTTTTTTTTTTTTTTTTTTTTGCCATGACCGGGTCACCCGGGAGTCAGACCCCCCCGGGCGTCACGCCCGGGTGACCGGCCGGTCATGAAAATCTTCCTAGCTTTTGGATTTAAAGCTGTGCAATCTGCCCCTGCCAGGGTGTTGCGCAAGTTTGTGGTCTGCTCCTGACAAGGGCATGACACAAACTTGGTAACCCCCTGACAGGGGTAGATTGCAAACATTTTAATCCAGAAGGGCATTTCACAAACTTACAAACTTGGTACCCTCCTGACAGGGGTAGATTGCAAAGATTTAAATCCAGAAGGGCATTTCACAAACTTTTCAAATTTCGGAGGTTCTTTTTTTTCTTCCGCTCTATCCACACCTTTTAGGATTGACACGTGAAACTTCAGCGTATTTCGCAATGTTACCTTCGGAATTCCATTCATTTATTTCCATCTGGATTCGAACACAGGTCTGTACTTCAACACTTCATGGGTGTGCCCACTGAGCCTACAAGCAGTAGTAATGGATCCATACTTCCAGGCCTTAGGCCCATCCGTGCATGCAACGGAATCGAACCGGCACCCTCAGCCACAAGAGCCAGGTCTCGTAACCAAAATCCAACCAAGATCGCCTTGCGGCACCACCTAACCTTCCGACCGTGTTTTTTTTTTGCTTTTCTTTAGAAGAAAAAGAAGAAAAAAAGAATTGAATTGAAGTAGGGAGGCCAGCGCTATGCGTCCATGTCCGGATGATAAGCAATAAACCCCCACACAGACTTCCCATGTTCCTTTTTTCCCATTTTTGGCCCTTTTGTTTTTCCTTATTTTGCCCTCATTTTGCCCTTTTTTTGCCCTTTTTACCCTTTTTTCCCTTTTTTTTCTTTTTTTTTTCCCTTTTTTTCCTTTTTTATTTTTCGCAAGTTAGGCAAAGGAATCGCGCGGAATAACTTGACGGAAAAAAACGGCACCACCTAAACTTCCGGCCATCTCTTTTGCTTTTCTTTAGAAGAAGAAGAAGAAGAAAAAAAGTGCAGTTCCATCGGCAGTTGTCCCATGTTCCTTATTTCCCATTTTTGGCCCATTTGTTTTTCCTTATTTTCCCCTTATTTTGCCCTTCTTTTCCTTTCTTCCCTTTCCCCCCCCCCCTTTTTTTTCTTTTTTTTCTTTTTTTTCCCCTTTTTTTCCTTTTTTATTTTTCGCAAGTTAGATAAAGGAATCGCGCGGAATAACTTGAGGGAAAAAAAAGAACCAACAATTTCAGGAAAACACTCTAACCCTAGGAACAACCCCTCCTAAACCCTCTTTTTTTCCTCGCACTCCCCACCTCGTCCTCCTCTCTCTCTCACCTCTGTCTCGTGGCGCCAACAGCACCCACTCGCTCTCCTGCCACCGCTCTGCACACCACCACCACCCTCCTCCTCTGCTGCTGCCCTCATCGCCATCGCTGTCGCCGCTCCTTGTGCTCCCAATGGCATGGTCATCATCTCCGCTGCCAAGCGATTGCCGCTCCCATCTCTGCCCTCCCTCTCGATCTCTCCTCCACATACTCCCTCCTCCTTCCATTTGTTAGCATCTTTTCCATCCAGATCCATATCCCTATCCATCGCCATCGCCATCTTCTCCTCCGTTTATTTGCAAGCTCCATCAGCAGTCGGAGGAGGACGGTCAGATTTCAGAAATTTTGACGGTTCCAGCAACTGCCTGCCTGCCTGCCTGCCTGCACAAACATGCATCATCATCATCATCCTCATATCATCATCATCATCCTCATATCATCATCATAATCATCATCATCATATCATCATCATAATCATCATCATAATCATCATCATTATCATCATAAAGAACACTAAGGGGGCATACTCAAACTACGGAAGTACTAGCATCCCTGGATGTTTTATTGGGCGCAATTACAACCAGCCCTGGATGTATCTGACTGCAATTACGTCCTGACATCCCAGCGAGTCCAAGAAAAAAAAAGGCTAGTGCGAATGCGCCCTAATACAGTAATGATAGGAAACAAAGTTTCACAAAGCTCACAAATAATGACGTCATCATCATCATCATCATCCATCAGAAACAACTACCGTCTTCACCCGAATAAAACGCCCGGTAATTATAGCTGCACCTGGACTGAAAGTTCTGCCAAATGCAGCTATAATGACCGGGCGTTCTGTTCGGGTGAAGACGGTAGCATCATCATCATGATGGATGCGATCATGGTCACCAGTGTTGACGTCACCACACACCACCAACACCGTCAGAGTATCACCTTTCACCTCAGAGAGGCTCGACTTGGCATTCGTTTGAACGTACTTGTATTATGGGCCTCGCTCCATCATTCACCAAAAAAATGTGCGAAATGAGAATGAATCTTCCCCTAGAACACGGGAAGATTCACCGCCATATTTTTGTCTTTTTTGTGCATGTGGTGTGAGTAGTGGATCGTGGCCCTATATCGTCAAACAGAGCTGCCCGGTAAACCGTGGACAGAGAGGGAGAAGAGAGGACAACAAAGGAGGGGCTGTGACAGACTCTATATACATTTGCTATTTCTCTCTTACATAAAATGAAAATGAAATGGAATGAAAGCAACGGCCAACTCAATGACATTCATCTAAACACGAAATCATTTCATTTCATTTCATCTAAACACGAAATCATTTACCGACGAGATCCAAGAACTCAGAGCGCGCTCTTTCCTCGACGCGTTGCTTTTTGTTCTCAACTTTTTTTTTCCCCCAAAACAATGTTCGTCACAGATGTCAACATATATACATAGGGTTCACCCTCCTGATGATTCAGTCGGTGAAACTCCGACGACACAGTTTGTCACAGCCCCTCCCTCGTTTGTTGTCCTCATCTCCCGTCTCCCTCTCTGCCTACGGTTTACCGGGCAGCTCTGTTAGACTATATATAGTCAAACAGAGCTGACTATATATATATACAAACAGAATATATATATATATAATCGTCAAATAGAACTGCCCGGTAAACCATAGGCAGAGAGGGAGAAGGGAGAAGAGGACAACAAACGAGGGGCTGTGACAAACTTTTTCGTCCGCGTTTCAGGAGGCTGAACCCTCGACAGTCTGCAGAATCCCCTAACTGATTACACTGTAAGTGATAATCCATATATATCGTCAAACAGTATATACATACATATATGAGTCGGTGAAACTCCGACGAAGCAGTTTGTCACAGCCCCTCGTTTGTTGTCCTTTTCTCCCTCCCCTCTCTGCCTACGGTTTACCGGGCAGTTCTGTTTGACGAGTATAGAAGAAACAGATAAAAAAAGAAACCGAGTAAAAAGATTAAAAAAAAAAAAAAAAAAAAAACAAGGAAGGAAAAACACAAAAAAAGAAACCTGAGAAAAAAGAAAAAAGAAAATATGTTCTGTGGGATGGTAATTGGATTATCCGTGGGATGTGTCACTGGCTTCGTCTGTTTAATAGGCTTTCTTCTTCTGTGAGATTTGGTTTGCTCCTCCTTTTCTTTACCTCCTCTTTTTTGCCTTTTGGCTGCGTGCAAGTGGGTCCATGTGGCACACGGGGATGGGGACAGCCAGCGCTCAGCGTGTCATCCACGCGGCTGGCCTTATACGTAAGAGGTGACGAACAGGTGGGGCTTTCCTTCCTTACTTCTTTTTCTTTTTCTTGTTCTGTCTTTTTCCGCCTTTGCGCTCTGATTTCCGGTGTGACAATATATATATATAGTCAGCTCTGTTTGACTATATGTTGTCACAAGAGTATCAGAGCGCAAATGCAAACAAAAAGGAAAAAAGAAAGAAAAACAAGAAAAAATGAATTCAGTTTTTTATCTTCTTCCTTATTACTCCCCCTGTTCAGAATATATATATGACGCCAAACCTGAACCCTGCTTTTGTCGGGTTGAAGCGGCCCAGGCAAAACGGCAGACCCGTAACCCTCTGGTTCCAGCTGCTCGAGCCCATTTGCCGTTTTAGGAAATTACACCCAGGGGCAAGGTCCCACTAGTAAAGAGGATTGGACTAAGCTCCTGAATCTGGACGTTTTTTAATCAGAGATGCGGAAAAGCATATCCATCTCGATTTTCTGCACCTTTACATCATTCACGTCCAGATTCAGGCATTCAATCCGATCCTGTTTTGCTGGTGGGACCTCGCCCCAGGAGATGTCCGTTATGCACCCCGCTACGCAGCCTGCGACTCGGGGGAAGGGCGCGCATCTCATTCCCACTCACCCATCAATTCTGCATCTGATTTCGACGCAGAGCTGATGCGCATTAGGTGTAGACGTTACCAAAGCCACACGCCCGAGATATGAAAGCGGAGAGATGCAACCAGTCTGGCAGCATCCCAAAGAGTAGTGGAGATTGAAATTAAGAAGAAGAAAAAAAAAGATATGATATCAATAGAGTCACGAGAGGAGCTCTCGATGCTAAGGGACGACAGCATAGACGCACACAAAGGGGGAAAAAAGAGGATTTGTAGTAATGACACCAGTCTGATAGACAAGAAGCTCTCAGAGGGAGGGTATAGTGATTCACACAGTCAAGATTTGGTCTTTTTTTTTCTCTTCTTTTTTGTCTTGGAAGATTTAGAACCATCTACGGCGGGACTTGTAGTGATGACGGCAGCGCCGCCACGAAGGGAAGATAGTGGCCCGAAGATTACTATCCATTGGGATCCTCTCTCCCCTGTCCCTCTCGCCATCTCCTTCTCCCTCACTCTTCCTGTTCTCTTGCTATTCTCCCCTCTCTCCATCCCTACCTCTCTCTCGCTCTAGCGGGTGCGTCCGCCCTCCCCCATGCTCTCTCTCTCTCTCTCTCTCTCTCTCTCTCTCTCTCTCTCTCTCTCTCTCTCTCTCTCTCTCTCTCTCTCTCTCTCTCTCTCTCTC